TTTTTTTTTGTTATAGGATAATTTACAAGGACTTGCTCACTTTTGTGAACATTTATTATTCATGGGAACGGAAAAGTACCCAAAAGAAAATGAATCTCGTGAATATGTATTAAATCACGGTGGTTATGCAAATGTCTATACATGTTCTGACAACACTAATTATTATTTTGAAGTTGGAACTGAATTTTTGGAAGGCGCATTAGATCGTTTTTCTCAATTCTTCATAAAGCCGCTATTTGATTCAAGCTGTACTGACCGAGAAATATGTGCGGTTGATTCCGGTAAATAATATAAAACATTTTTGTATTCTTCCTTAATTTACTTTATAATTACTTATATTATATTTATAATGACTTTATAGAGAATAAAAAGAATTTACAATCGGATCATAGAAGGATTTATCAATTAGAAAGATCGTTATCAGATCCAAAACATCTTTATTCAAAATTTGGTACAGGAAATTTAAAAACACTCAAAGAAGATCCGATTAAGCAAGGATTAAATATCAGAGACGAGCTATTAAAATTTCATGATCAATATTATTCTGCTAATATCATGAAATTAATTGTGCTTGGTAGAGAATCGTTAGATCAACTTTCTCAATGAGTTGTTGAAAAATTTTCCGCTATTATAAATAAAAGCATACCGGTACCTACTTTTGAAGGTCATCCTTTTACCGAAAGTGGACTGTCGGTACGCCATCATAATTTTTTTTTTAAAAAAAGAATCTTTCTTAAAGTTCTAATACAATTTTTATTGTTAGAAACAAGTGTTTATCAAATCTGTGAAAGATATACGGATGCTGAAATTATTATTTCCTTTTCCAGATCTAAAACAGCTGTTTCGTGTTAATGTAAGTTCACACACATATAAAAGAATCACCTTTTATATTTAATAAGCTAATTTTTAATTTATATATAAAAAGCCTGGGAAATATTTATCGTATTTGATTGGGCATGAAGGAGTTGGGTCAATATTATCTTTATTAAAAAGGAAAGGTTTGGCAAACAATTTAATTTCTGGATTAAATTATGAAGGAGTCGGGTTTGCGATTTTCGAAATCTCGATAGAACTTACTAAGTTTGGATTAGTTAATTATTGTCATTTGGGGAGGTTTTTTTCTTTTCCTTAGATATAACCATATTATTTATTTTTATATAGATAGTTATGAAGAATGTGGTCGTGCACATATTTCAATATATCGAAATGTTGAGAAAAGTCGGAGTTCAAGAGTGGTGTTTTCGAGAGGTAAGTTAAATTATTTCATATTTAATTTCAGTTTAATTTAACGTAATTTTTAATTATTAATGTTAAAAAACCTCTAACGTAATATTATAGATTAAAGAACTTGAGGATATATCATTTAGATTTGAAGAAAAATCATCACCATCAAGATATTCATCAACTTTATCCAATATGATGCAAAATCCATATCCAAGAGAATGGATTTTGAGCGGACCTTATCTGATAAGAGAATATAATCCACTTCTAATTAGTGAATTACTTGATTTACTTCGTCCGGATAATTTTTTTTTAGAATTAATTAGTCAATCTTTTACTGGATTGGATCAGAAAGAGAAATGGTATGGTACTGAATATAAAGTTGAACCTTTAGGTGATAAACTAACTTTATATAATTTAATAGGCTTTGATTAATGTTTCATTACATCCTGATTTGAAAATGCCTTTAATTAATGAATTTATTCCGACAAATTTTGAAACTCACAAGACTGAATTTGCAACGGTAAGTATAAGCATCGGTAGTGATGTACTCTAAATGTGCTTTAACCCTATATTTAAATAAATATAGCCTGCAAATAAGCCAAACCTAATTAAGAATACACCACTTTGTCGACTTTGGCATAAAAAAGATGATACATTTTGGGTTCCAAAGGCAAGCGTAAATATTAAATTAAAAAGGTATATATGTTGTATATATATATTATTTTTTTTTTTTAAAAAAAAAAAATTTAAACCTAACCTCTTTTGTTCCTTCTGTAGCCCACTTGTTTACATTACGCCATCGCATTGTGTTAAAGCTAAACTATTTACAGACTTAGTTTGCGATACTCTTACTGTAAGATTCATATAGCGCTGAAGTGGCAGGTGTAACCTATTATTTTAATAGCGATTCAGAAGGATTGTTATTAGTAATTGATGGTTTTAATGATAAATTACAAGTTTTACTAGAAAAAATTGTGATTAAAATAAAAAATTTTCAAGCCGACCCCGAAAGATTTTTATTAATGAAAAGAACGACGTCAAAGGAGTTATAAAAACTCTCTATTAATTGAACCATATCAACAGTCGATGTATTATATGAAATATTTAACGCAAGATAAAGCGTGGAAAAATGAGGAAAAATTAGAAGCATTACAGGATATTAAATACGAAGATATAAAGACATTTTATTCTGATTTGTTGAATAAATTGTATATTGAATCATTAATTCATGGTAATATATTTAAAGATGATGCCATTAAAATCATCGAAAGAGTTGAAGAGATTCTTCAACCCAAAGTTCTTATACCATCACAACTAATTGGTCATAGAAATGTTATTATTCCACAAGGGAAAAAATTTATTTATCAAAGGAGTGTTGTTAATTTAAAGGAATATAATTCTGCTATTAATTATTATATTCAAATAGGTGATTTAATGGATAAAGAATTAAGAGCCAAATCAAGTATATTAGCACAAATTGCTAATGAACTTTGTTTTGATCAATTAAGAACAAAGGAACAACTAGGTAAGAGTATTATTTATTTTTCCTTTAATGATCATCATCATCATAATTAATATTTTTAAAAAAAAAATCTAGGATATATAGTTGAAAGTAGTTTAAGAGAACAAGTAAGCTCTGTAGGATTTAGAATTCTTATACAAAGTGAGAAAGATACGATTCATTTGGAAAATAGAATTGAAGCTTTCTTGGGTAAATTATTGAACATAATCGAAGAGATTTCCGAACAAGAATATCAAAAACAAGTCCATTCATTGATTAGAGATACATTAGAGAAACCAGAAAATTTATTTGAAGAAACTGGTAGATATTGGGACCATATTATTTCCGGATATTATGATTTCGAGCAAAGTAAGTAATAATTATAGGTTTTTTTTTTTAAAAAAAAAAAAAAAAAAAAATTTTTATTTCTAAATTTGCGTTATATATTTAACCTGTCAGTTGAGACGGATGTAGAAGAATTACGTAAAATTACAAAACAAGACCTTTTAAAATTTTACAAAAAATTTATTATTCCAACTTCACCGTTTTACAAAAAACTTTCAGTGCATCTAAGAACTTCACAGTCAGATGGGTTCGTTAAAAGATCAGTTGATATTAATCATCTAAACGCATATTTACTTTCACAAGGCCTTACTACAATAACTATAAACGATTTACAAAAATTTTTCGGTACTCAAGCAAAATTAGAATTAGATAAATGTGGATTGGAAAATTTGTCAGCATTTTTAACCGGTCAAACCAAAGTTGATAAAAATGAAATTGAAGGTTTAATTAATAATATGTATTTAAATGGTGTTATCAGTACTTTAGAAAAGGTTAACGAAAGGAAAGATGAGAAACAAAATGGGGAAGGGGAATTGGAATTGGAATTAAAGGATGAAAATGTAATTATTGATGATATGGTATTATGGAAAAGTAATGTTGAATTGGGTCCTACCGCTACTCCAGTTATACCACTTCATAATTCGATTAGCAAATTATGAGTGTAGCGTGTGCTATCTGATGCGGGATGTCAGTTCTTTTAATATAAAATTTATTATATAGAATATTTCTATTTATGGATTATTTAATAAACCGAACTAATTTTTTGTTTCTAGAAAAAGATAAAAGTTTGATGATTTATTCGAGTTTATCCATTAAGTTTCGCGTTATTTTTATTAATTTCTTATTTCAACCAGAATTAAGATTTCCCTTCTTTATGATGATCCTACAAAATTCCATTAACTTTTGATATAGTAAAAGTGAAATACTATAATCAAAATACTATAATCAAGAATCTTTTTTATAAAATTCAAAGTTAAAATTAAAATGCATTATAATAATTTATATATCAAGAATAAAGATAACAAATCAAATTAAAAAAATTTTTTCCTTTACTTAATTAATAGACTTTTTTAATATTTCTTATTAATTAGAAAATTTTATAATTAATATTTAATATATTGATTTATTACAAATTATAAAATAGTTTTTTAAATTAATAATTACCATTATATATTATATTTCTCTTAAATATATAATTTTATATTTAATTTTAATTAATTAAAACTGATTTATTTAATAGTAATTTTATAATTTGAATAAAAAAATTTGTATTTTTATATATTTATTTAATTATCTAATTATCAAATTTGAGTTATTTTTATATTTAAATTAAAGATAATATAATTAATTACAATATTATAATATTTATTTATTAGAAATTATAACTAGTTTTAGCTTAAATATTATTAATATCATAACTAGTAATAACTTTTTAATTTTTATTTATCACTAATTACAACTAATTACAATATTATTTTTAATGCAAGTATTTCATAATATTTATTATAAAATATAGTATTTAATAATTAAGCTATTTTAAGATTAAATTTTTTTTTATAAAATATATAAAAAAAAAATAAAATCAAATGATTATATAATTTTTATATATTTATTATTATATAATAATTAGTATCATTAAGAAATAAATAAATATATACAAAATATATATATAATAAATATATAAATAAATTTTATTTTTATACTTATTTATCAAATTTAAATTTTATTTAACATTTATAATTTTGGAATTTATTATTATAGAATATCTAAAAATCTTATATTATAATTTTTAATCTTTTAAAATTTTAATATATTTAAAACTATTATATATTAAAAGAAATTTAAAAAAAATTATAAGTTTCTTATTCTTTAATGATATTATAAGCAAATTTACTTGCAATTTAATTAAAAATTAAATATTTTTTAAAATAATTAAAAATAATTAATTAAAAATTATACTTTTATAATAAATTTTATAACTTTTTCTAAGTAAAAATTAAAAAAAAAATGATAAATAACTAATGATTTTTAAAAATAAATATATGGGTTGATTTTTAGAAAAATTAGGTTCTAAGAATTTTTTAATAAAATTGAGATTTTTATTGCATTTTAGTTTTATTAAATTAAAATATATTAAGTTCTTAATTTTAGTCAAAAACTTCTCAGAATCTGATTTTCCTAGAAATCCTTTCATATAATAAATTATTATTAAAAAAGTTAAAATTTTAAATTTATATATTTTACTATCTATCAATCTTAGAAATACTATAATTTAATAAGTTTTAATGTAATGAATTCAATAAATTAAATTTATATTTTTGTAATTATTAGATAATAATTTATGTTTAAAAATTAAAAATTTGAAATATTAATATATATTAATAATTATTAATTTTAAAAGTTTAAAAATACTATTATTAGATACATTATAATATGATAAATTTAAAAATTTTATTTCGTTTTTTTATAATCATTAGATATCAAAATATTTTAGGAACAGTTTTATACTTATAGTTTAAGAAATAATATTATATAATTTGCAATATTATAAAACTATTATTTAATTATATAAATTAATTATAAATTATAAATTATTTTTAATATTTATAATTTACTTTAATAATAATAACTTATATTATAATATTAATATTATTTTTTTATTTAAATATAATTATTAATTATTATATTAAGATTTATATAATTTACAAATTTTAATTTATAATTTTTAAATTTTATTTTTAATAATTATATTATTAAAATATTTATTTAATATTTAAATTTATTTAAAATATATAAAATATTAATTATAATTTATAATTTATATATAAATTATGATAATATTTATTAAAAAGAATAATTTATTTATTTTACTATACGATATTATTATTTCTCTTCATCATCTATATCATACCTTTTTTTATTTTTCATATATATTCTAAAAACTTAAAATTTATTAATTGTAAAAATTTATTCTTCATATCTTATATTAGAATTCCAAATGAGTCGAGTTGAGTTGAGTTTAAAGATCAACTTTATTTGACTCGTTTTTTCAAATTGAGTTGAGTTGAATTTATTTTATAAAATCTTACAACTTAATTTGATTCAAGTTATATAAATTTTAAACTTAACTCAATTTGACTCAACTCAAGTTTAATTCGACTTGATTTTGATTTGAATTTATTTGAGTTAAGTCAAGTTCAAATCAAGTTTTAAGTCAAAATTTAATTAACTTATAAATATTTAAATAAAGAAAAATTTATTTTAAATTATATTATATTTAAGTTTTATATATTATTTTATTTAAATCAAAATCATAAAACAAAAATAAAAAAAAATTAATTATTTTAAAAAAGCATTAAAAATAAAAAAAATTTATTTATTTTTAAAAATAGTTTTTTACCAAGTTATAGCATTTCAGACTTTTATGATATCAGTAAGAACATTAATAAATATTCTCAAAGAAGTTCACCCAATTCAAGAAGAAGGAATTCACTTACTAGTAGGTTTTTAAGATTTAAAGAAAACTGATTTTAAAAGAAAGAGAAGAAAAGGAACATTAGTAAACATTCTCAAAGAAGCTCACCCAATCTAAGAATAACAAGAAGAAGAAATTAATTCACTTACTGGTAAGTTCCCAAGATCTAAAGAAAGCCAGTTTTAAAAAAGAAAAAAAAAAAGAACATTAGTAAACGTTTTTAAAGAAGTCTACTTAATTCAAGAAGAAGAAATTCACTTACCAGTAGGTTTCTAAAATTCAAAGAAAGCCGGTCTTAAAAAATAGAAGAAAAAAGAATATTAATAAATATTCTTAAAGAAATTCATTCAATCTAAGAAGAACAAGAAGAAGAAATTCACTTACTTAGTAAGTTTCCAAGATCTAAAGAAAGCTAATTCTAAAAAGAGAAGAAAAAAATGTTAGTAAATGTTCTCAAAGAAGCCTACCTAATTCAAGAAGAAGGAATTTACTTACCAGTAGGTTCCCAAAATCCAAAGAAAGTCAGTTTTAAAAAAGTGAAGAAAAAAGAATATTAGTAATATTCTTAAAGAAGCCTATCCAATCCAAGAAGAATAAGAAGAAGGAATTTACTTACCAGTAGGTTCCCAAAATCCCAAAGAAAGCTGATCCTAAAAAGAAAAGAAAAGAGAAACATTAGTAAATATTCTTAAAGAAGCTTATCTAATCCAAAAAGAACAAGAAGAAGGAATTAATTCACTTACCAGTAAGTTTTAAAGATTCAAATAAGGTTGAAAGAGAGAGTATGTGTATGTATATATATGCTAAAAAATATATAAACTGTTTTTAATAAAGCTGAATAAAAAAAAAATATAAAAAGAAAAATAAAAAAAAAATTAAAAAAAATCAAAAAAATAAATAATGAAAGAAGAAAACGGAAAAAAAAAGATGAGAAGAGGGAAGAGAAAAATAAATAAACATAAATAAATAATAATATAAAAAAAAATCAGAAAAAAAGAAATTGACAGAAAGGGGAAGGATTAGGAAAATAAAAAAAGAAAAAATAAATGAAATAAAATGGAATTGAAAAAAAATAAAAAAATTATAAAATAAAAATGAAAAAAATAACAATAAAAAAATTAGAATAATAATGAAAAAAGAAAAGAAAAAAAAAGACCAAGAGGAAAGGGAGGAAGGAGAAGAAAAAAAAAATAAGAAAAAAAGATCAAAAAAAATAAAATAAAAATAAAATAAAAAAAATACAAAATAATAAAAAAAAATGTAAATAAAATAAAATAAGAAAAAGGATCAGGAAAGGGGAAAGGAAAAAAAATAAGATGAGATAGAGGGAAAAAAAAATAAATCGATTGATAAATCGATTGATTTAATTAATATAAATCAGTTTGTTTATCCTTAAAAAGTAAGACTTGTTTTCAACTTAAGTCAAGTCAAGTTCAAGTCGAGTTTAAATTGAGTTGAGTTAAATATTTAACTCAACTCAAACTTGATTTAATTTGCAAATTATTGAGTCAAAAAATTATAAACTCAATTTGATTTAAACTTGACTCAACTTATCTAACTCATGAGTTGACTCAATTCATCCAGAACTCTATTTTATATTAAATATCATATATTTAATTTTGATCAGTATTATATAATTTTGTCTAAAGGTAATACATCATATAATACAATAAATAAATTTATTTTTATTAAAATTATTTTAATATTATATATTTAATTTTTAAATTTATAATATATATATATAATAATATAATTTTTAGTATTATTTATTATAATAATTAAATAAATTTTATATTAATTATTAAAAAAATTACTTAAGTTTAATAAAATTAATATTTAAAAAAGAATTATATGATAAACCTATAATAAAATTGATAAAAATTTAATTAAATTAAAATTTAAAATTAGTTAAAATAATTTTAATAATATTTAAAATATAAATAACTTATAAAATTTTTTTTTCATTATTATATTATATAATTAAATAATATATTTCAATATTTATAATTTAATTTTCTTATTGATAACAATCTTCATTAGATATATACTTAGTGGAATTGATGAAGAGAAAAACGATGATAGGTCAATTTAAATAGGTTTGTAATATAACTATAGGAGATAACTAGTACTTAGCATAGATTTATTTTTGATTTACTTTGTATCTCTTTTTATATAAATTTAATA